CCCACTGAGCCCCTTCCCAGTGCAGGGATCACACTGAGCCTCATCCCAGTGCAGGGATCCCACTGAGCCCCTTCCCAGTGCAGGGATCCCACTGAGCCCCATCCCAGTGCAGGGATCACACTGAGCCTCATCCCAGTGCAGGGATCACACCCATCCCCATCCCAGTGCAGGGATCCCACTGAGCCTCATCCCCATCCCAGTGCAGGGATCCCACTGAGCCCCATCCCAGTGCAGGGATCCCACCCAGCCCCATCCCCTTCCCAGGCCCAGCCCGTGTGACACAGCCCCAGTGGCTCCAGGCTCCCAGATGCTCTGGTTGTCAGAGCAGAGCCTGAAGCCCTGGCTGAACAGGGCAGGACTGAAGGCTCTGCTGAGGCTGAAGGCCAATCCAGGGCCATTCCCAGGGCTGGGAGCTGAGCAGCTCCAGCAGCACACAGGCTGCAGGGAACAGCTTTTCCCAGGCTAAGCAAGGCTGCAGGAGAGGTGGAAGCGAGCTGCTGTCCCAGCTCCAAAGCCACCTTTCTCAGAGACAAAAAGGGATCCTGGGCAATGCCAAGGCTCACAGAGAGCTGCTGGAAGAGCTCCTACCTGTTGATGGGGACCAGCATTCCCGGGCTGATGTGCTCACACTGTGGGGTTCTCACAGGGGGAAAGAGGCCTGAGGAGGGGCTGAGCGGGAGCTCCGAGAGGGTGAAATCCTCGGCGTCCCCGTCGCGGCTCCCTCGCAGTGCTGGCAGCTGTGGGGCCGCCCCAGAGCTGTCAGTCAGTCACCTGAGCCTGGAGTGCCTTTCCCCCCTCTCAGCGCTCCCTCCACTCCCTCCTGCCCTGATCTGAGTCCCCTGTCCCTGCTGAGGCACAGCCCCAGCCCCGTGCCCAGAACGGGACACGACCCTGCACCTCCCCCTTGGTCTGAGTGCCCCTCCAGATCCTGCCCAGCACTTGGCCCAGGGCTTGTGGTGCTGCCACACCCTCAAAAAGTCATTTCTGGTTACAGTCCCAAGCTCCAGTCATTTCTGGTTACAGTCCCAGGCTGCCCAGGACTGCTCAGAAGGACGATTGCTCAGGTGGAGCTGTCACCATGCAGAGGCTCCTCCCAGCCTGTCCAGCCTGCTCACTGCCACCAGCCAAGGGCTGCCACAGCACGTGAAGGCAAGAAGCCCCTTCCCACCGACCCCCAGGACTGTACTGGTGCAACAGGAGCAGCCCCCTGGCACACCCAGCAGGAGAGCAGTCCCACAGGAGCTGCTGTCCCAGGCTCACCTGGACCCTCCTCTTCTGGAAGGGAGTTGCACAGAAGACGTCGTCGTGGTTGTCCTTGGGCAGGTGCTCCAGGAACTCCCTCATCTGCTGCTTCCGTTTGAGGGTGCCCACCTTGGCAGTGATCACTGGCTCCTTCTTATCTGCAGGATCTGACCAGGAATTGTCTCAGACAGCAGCCATGGGGTTAAAATTCACTGCCACAGGCAGTGCCACAGCCCAGTCCATCCTCAGGTGAAATCTCTTACAGCTTCTTTAGGATGCCTTTGAGTTCTCACACAGTTTCTGCTTTCCAAAGCAGTTTCCCCACTCCATCTCCAGGGGAGGGTCACTGCAGAGCCCCCCAGAGCCACTGCAGGTCACACACAGGGTTCACTGTGACTGTGACAGAAGTGAGCTCACGTGTGCCTTGCAGAGAGCAAACCCACAGCAGGGTCCCCGTGCCAGCAGGCAGCGAGGCTCAGAGCTCTGCTGCTCAGGGACACTGCACTGAAGCCGGGCTCAGGAATGCTCAGCTCACCCTGTGTCCATGGCAAACCTTCATCCAAGCCAGCCCCAAGTGAAGCTGCAGTGTGGGGATGGCAAACTCCAGACAATGGGTGTTGGGCATCCAAGGACCCAAACCCCACCAGGACAGAGCTCTGCAAGGAGCTCGTGACCTGCTGGGCCTCCAGGAGCCTCTCAGGACCTCAAGAGCTCTTTCCCCTGAGGGGTGAAGGCCAGAGAGTCTTCCCCTCATGCCAACAACTGGAAAACTCTACAAGAGGAAGGTTCTTTCCTTTCTCTTCTTGTCACCTCAGTCATTCATGACATCCTCCAACCTCCACAGCAAAAGGTGACCTGGCTCACTGCCACATCCTGATGTGCTCCTGTGGATTTATCCCATGGGAGCAGAATTGGTGACGCTGGAAAAGCCCTCCCAGCCCATCCAGTCCAACCCTTCCTCAGCACTGCCCCATGGCCCCAAGTGCCACATGCACAGGGCTTTGAAATCCCCCCAGAGACGGGCACTGCAACCCTCCCTGGGCAGTGCCAAGGCCTGAGCCCCCTTTCCGTGGGGAAATTCCTGCTGTGCCCACCCTGAGCTGCCCCGGCCCAGCCTGAGGCCGTTCCCTCTGCTCCTGTCCCTGTTCCCTGGAGCAGAGCCCGACCCCCCCGGCTGTGCCCTCCTGGCAGGAGCTGTGCAGAGCCACAAGGGCCCCTGGGCCTNTCCCACCCAAAGCATTCTGTGATTCCAAACCAAGAGGATGAAGCCTTGCAGGCACCATTCCTGGACAGCTCCTGGATTCTGCTGCCCCACAACAACTCTGAGTAATCTCTGAGTAAAAAAAGCTTCCCTTTCTTACACTAAGGAAATGTAAAAATTCAAGCTGTCCCTAGAGTAAATTAAAAGGCAATTTCAGTTCCTTCTGGAGTGCTGCTAAATTTATTATACAGACAAATCCCAGAAGATATTTTAGCTTAAAAAGAATCAAAACTTGGCAATCATTGGTATCTATGTACATTTCTGCTTCCCAGGAGAAGCCTGGACAAGGAAATGCCACTTGGCACACATGGAAAAGCCAAACATTGGCAACAGGGTGGGAATGGAGTTAAAACACATAAAACCATAGCAGGACAGCTTTTCCAAAGTGAAACCATTCCAGCAGCAGAACCCCCGTGCTCTGAACAGCAAGTGCTGAACAAGACATCCATGAAGCCCATCAGATAGAAAAGCAGGAGGTGCTGAAGAAAACATCCACAGAGTCCATCAGGTAGAAAAGTAGGAGGTGCTGAACAAGTCATCCCCAGAGCCCATCACATGGAAAAGTAGGAATCCTGCTCCTCACTGGAGCAGGACGAGTTCGGCGGCTCAGCTGTGAAGAGCTTCCCCACCACGGGGGCCGGGGTCACTCCTGCAATGAAAACAGGGATTGTCAGGGGTGTCCCAAGGGAAATGGGGCACAGCTGACGGGGATGGAGGAGGAAGGGAAGGAGCTGGCAGTGCAATACTCACTCTGGGTCCTGCGGGACGCCGGGGTCTCGTGCACAGCTCGGGCCTGAGGCAGGGAGGGAGGGAAGGGAAGCGGCTCAGCCAGGGCTGGCGCCAGCTCAGGGTCCCCGTTGCCCAGAATGCCACAACTTCCCCTGACCCACAGGCACAAGCTGCTCCCAGGACCAGCGGGTTTTATGGAAAAGCCAAAGGAGCTGCAGAGCCTGGGAGAGTGGAAGAACTGCTACCGAAATTCAGGGATACAAGGCTGACTTATGGTCACTGTTAAGAGTTGGGCTGGGTGATCCTTGTGGGGCCCTTATTGTACCTCAGGATATCCTATGGCTATTGTTCCTTTTCCCACTGTTCAGAGGAATTTACCAAGAACCTAAAGACCACAGAATTCCAAAGCAATTCCAAATCCTGACAATGAAGAGCTCCCTCCTCACAAAGGAACTTCTCTCCACAGCAGCAGATACCAAACCCAGGGAGGTTCCCATTTTCCATGCAGAGCACACAGGGGGCTGTGATCCCAGGATTGTGTCTCCTGTGGCCAAGCTGTGCCTGGCTCAGGTGGCAGTGGCAGAGCCAAGGAAAGCAGCATTACCGGCTTCTTCTTGACCTTGTCCCAGGTGCCTCTGCTGCCCCGGGTGTTCTTCTGCAGGTGGAACACGTGCCGGTCGTAGTCACTCCTGGGCACAAGGGAGCAGGGCTGGGAGCCTGCCCTGGAACCCTCTGCAGGCAACCAGGGAGCCCCAGAGCCCCAGGGAACGAGCAGGGCTGGGCCACGGGCTGCACATCCAGTGCAGGGATCACACTGAGCCCCATCCCCTTCCCAGTGCAGGGATCCCACTGAGCCCCAGCCCAGTGCAGGGATCACACTGAGCCCCATCCCCATCCCAGTGCAGGGATCACACCCAGCCCCATCCCAGTGCAGGGATCCCACCCAGCCCCATCCCCATCCCAGTGCAGGGATCCCACCCAGCCCCATCCCCTTCCCAGTGCAGGGATCACACTGAGCCCCATCCCCATCCCAGTGCAGGAATCACACCCAGCCCCATCCCAGTGCAGGGATCCCACCCAGCCCCAT